GTATGTAGCGTGAATAGCGAATTAGAAATGAGAAATTTAACCCGTTAGGAGGGTGCGATCAATTATTAATTTGACTTTTGTTATTAAAAAAATATTTGAAATTTTTCATTTCAAATAGATTTCGCTTATATTATGGCATGTACACTTGTGAAGTTTCAATTGTATTTGCAATCATATAGGATTTCGTAGGATAGACTGGAAAAGGAATTATTATATTTTTCTATCTCTTGAATACGATTTATTGAACAGCAATCTCAATCTAGTCGAACTTTTCTTTTAGAAGTCAATGTTCCATATTGACCGCCACTTTGTTTATCATATAAATCCCAGGCCTCGCATATAATCAGCTCACACCGTATGCGCTCGTAACAAGAGAGGTCGTTCCGCTCTGCAAATACTAATAGTCGAAGATCTCTCGAATCTCGGTTAAATAGTTCGCTTGTTCCTTTTCTGATTTTTTTTTTGATGATTCCCCACAAAGAGAAGTATATTGGTTTGACTATATACCAGTAAATAACAGTATCAGTTTCCTATAGTATTGACAGATTAGTTTGAATAACACTTTGGGTGATTTTTATAGATCGAAAATCTCAGGCATATTTTGTGTTACCGTTCTCTGGCATTCATAAAATTTGTTACACAAATTAAATATAAGAGTAAACCGGGAACCAATTTTTTTTAACAGTTTATGAAATTGGTTTTAAGGAATGATTGGGTTAATTCAGTATTCCATAATACATATACATTATGAATTATGGAACACTGGAAAAAAATCGAAATAAAATAAAATTTATTGTTACCTTGCAAGTTTTACCTTGGCCAGGATACAAAAAACAAAATTAGACAACGGAAAAATGATCTTTTGTGATGTGCATAAAAATTTTTTTTTTCGATTTTGCTCGTTTTTTTCTTCTTTTTATTAAAGAATCTTATAAGGTTGCCTATAGATTCGATTTGAATATGAAAAAAAATTTTCGATTTTTCGAGTTTCAGGTAAAAAAAAAAGGACTACCAAAATTATTTTATTTAAAAAAAAAAATTCTTATTCACTTAGAAATTTGAATTTTTTAAATGTGCATGCAGATTGAAATCGGAGATTCATTTACAAAAAAAATAAAAACATAAAAAGGAGCCTTGTATCCTGATGAGATTCAAAAAAAATTTTTTTTTATGTCATGTTTATTTTTATATTTTAACTATTTTTTATTATGAGAAAAAAAAAAACGGAGTATAAAATGTTTTTATTTAATTTTGCTGTAAAATTTGAAATTTTCGAATAAAAATTTGAGAGAGGCAGGCAACAATATTTGCATATGTTTAATGTATTTGTTTAATAAGCACCTGAGCAGGTGACGATATTTTATTGTTAACAGTAAAAATATTGAAAAAAAAAAAAAATTTTATAAGATTTCTTTTTCATTATATTTTTTAGGTAGGAGCAGCTTTGGTTTAGAAAAAATTTGGTTACACAATTTTATGGTGTTTTCTAAATTTTAAAATTTTCTGATTTTCTTTTTTTTGTTTTTCAGAAATAATTGAAATTTTTCGGTAATTTTCGGTTTCGACTACTGAAAATTTAAAGAAAATTCATAAGTAACGCATAGGTATGTGATTTTTTTTACATGGCCGCTTGTTATTTGTTATAGGAGTTGTAATTGACTTAGAAATTTTCTAAATTTTGACTGTTTACAGATAAAAAATGTATTTTTAATGTATTTGAGTTGGAAATTTGGCAGGATATATCCTAAAAAAAAATTTTCGAAAAAATTTATTTAAAAATTTTATTGCCTTTTGCTACTGACTCCACGGTTTAATGGACATAACAGCCTATCTCTAATACAATTAGTAAAAGGCAAAATAAATTTTCAATTGGCATGCTTATTGAAGAATATTGCTTATGCTTACATATATTTCGGATGTGTCATCAGAATTTTCGATTTGATGAATATATGTCTATATAAATTTGCACATAAGTGACAAGTCATTATACAAACAAGTCTTTTTAATAACTTTTAATAATTATTATCAAAAATCCCATTCATTTCCGATTCTATTTTCATATTATTATTGAATGATCACAAATTGAATTTGTTTATAAAAAGTGAACAGTTCACTTTTTCATATTTAATTTTATAGGAAATTAATTTTTAGATATTGCGATAAAAACGTGAATTTTTTTGAAATTAACCGTAAAACATTAACTATTAATGACATTTTAATAACTGTTTTTAATATAATAATTATTATAATAATAAAAAAAAATAATTCTTTTTCATATGTCATGTTCCGAGTTGAAGTTTTAGGTTTAGAAAGAAAGGCAAACTAGCTAAATATTGAAAATTTAGAGTAAGGTGATGACAAACTATAAAATCAATGCTACAATAATTAACTATTAATCTATACACAAACAATTTAATAATAACAATAAAATATTCATTCATTCATTCATTCATTCATTCGTTCGTTCGTTCATTTATGTGATTGCTATATTATGTGAGTACAAAAATGTTGCCGTTTAATAAAGATATTGAAAAAATATGGGTTAAAAAAATTTATTTTTATATTTTTTTTTAAATTTTATGACTAAGATTTTGTTTGGATTTTATAGTTTTCTACTATGGTATTATTAATTTTTGAAAAATTTGCAAAAAAAAAATTAAAAAATTTATTGCAAAAAAATTTTGTTTTATTTCTCTATATAATTTTGAATTTTTAAGGTCAATTTTTCTATTGAATAATATTCGAAAGTTGTAAAAATTTAAAAATTTTTTTTTTTTTATTAATGAAATATTTTTGAAATTCAACATCACCTTCCAAGTAACGAAACTATACATAGTTATTTTTATTATTAATTTTTTATTGATTTATTCACCCATCACTAAATAAAATTATTCAAAAAGATTTTATAGAGGAAATAATTATTATAATGATTGATTTTTAAATTTATTAATAATTTTATTATTTTTCTAAAATATTTTTTAATAATTTTGTAAAAATTTCAATTTTTGAATAGATTAAAAGTCAAACACCTTTAATCAATTGTAATATGTGGAAGTCATTTATTTTGCAATGAGTCCGAAGTGAAATCTTGTTGAATTTCTAGGTGCGCATGAAAAAATAATTAATATTTTGCTTATTGGATTAAAATTAAGTTAATAAGATTGATGAATTTTTAATTTATTTTTTTGATTTTATAACGTCTAATAATTCATTGCTGTTATACATAATTTAGTGCAAGTTAGTCTTACAATAATTATTGTTAAATTAATAGATTACTTTATAGAATCGAAAATTCCCCTTATATACGCTTCGTATTTAGGGCAAGTGTATACGTATGCAAATGATTTTGGCTATAGTATAAACAGTCATTTTATAAATATAAAAAATAAAATCAATTTGATTTTACATATTGAAGAAATAGAACAAAAATGAGGAAGAATCGTAGGAATTTTTTATAACTTAGCAGACACTGGGACACCACGATTTAACAAAAATCTATATATTATAGTTTATTCCACTACAATATTACGTATGGAACTATTGATTTGGGGATATAAAATCAAAACAAAAAGGAATATTAAAATTGAGTACATTAAAAAGCAAATTGATTAAAAATTTATTCTTAAATTCAATAAAAGAAAACACATACAGATGACCTATACCAAAATGTTTAATACAAATTCAATGTACAAATAATTACTTATAGAAAATTACAAATAGAGCATATATACAAAGTTTATCACAGAAAAATTCTTTAAAAAGCCAACCTCATTCAAGGTAATTATAATATGCACCTGCCGTAAGCATTAGGATCTACAGTTAGCATCAGATACTATGAGAATAGAAGCAAGTAACATTTACAATTAAGCCATCAAAGAATACAAAATACCGACTGAAGCCTTAAAAATTTTAAATTTTACACAATTTAAAAAGAAAATGTTAGTTCCCTATATTTGGTTATACGCAGGGTGGCGCAAAAAGAACGATATGTTTTGAATTCTTGATAACTTTTTTATTTATTAACTTTTTTTTTTTATTTCAGAATCTTGTAAACAAGGCTTGGCAAATTTATAATGGAGCGGTACACAACGCAGCAGCGAACAAAAATCATAGAATTTTACTATTAAAATCACAGGTTAGTTATTTTAACTCGCCAAGCATATCGGCGATATTTCAATGTGCGGAATCTGCTCTCTGCAGCAACAATAAACCGCCTGGTAAGACATTTTGAAGAAAATGGATCAGTAAGAAACATACAAATTCGTGGAAGACCGCGTACGGTCCAAACGGAGTAAAATGTTGAACGTGTAGTCAACATTTAGTGTACTTTGATAGAGAAATCTTAAAATTTGAATATCTCAATTCTTTCTATTTTTTATATTATTTTATTATATTTTATAATTTTTTTAGAAAAATTTTTTATATTGTAATTTTTCATTTAAATTTTTAAATTGTTGTATATTAAGTTTATTCTTTTTACACTGTTTTTTCGCCGAAAACAAAAAATAATATAAAAAATAATACTCTAAACGAGCGAAATTTTTATAATAAATCAAATTCAAGCTATAAAATTTGAAATTATTCACATAAATCGACAATACATATAATATGAAGGTGCTAGGAATGTAGAGACATCATTGGATCTCAATATTATATACTGTATAAAATACACTATCAAACCTCCAGGATTTATGCTAAATATGCTAAGTGTAAACTTTTATTTAAATGAAAATTTTTAAAATTTTTTCGATAATTTCTTAACTGGTTTTCAATTATCCTTTTTATAGCAATAAATAAAATATCCATTGTATACCTATTATATACGTGTATAATATCTGTTATACGAGTAGTGCTAAAAATAAAATTTTTATTTCGACAAAATGCCGCCGGAATAAACAAACAAAAAAAAAATCAGAATTTCTAATACCCTTATAATAAATATGATTAATTCAGATATACAATATATTATTTATATATAGTATATATGTTGATATACATACATCTTGTCCTACCAGATGATGTTGGTGTACTAAGTATATTATTATGTCGAATTGAATGTTTATTATCCTCATGATGATCATTTTCCCATATTAATTGTTGTGATATCACCATCATTTTATTATTATTAATTTGTATATTAAAATTATTTAAAATTTTATTATCCAAATTATTGTTTTTAATTTTTTTATTTTAAAATATTAATTAATAAAATTAAAAAAAATTTAATTATATATTCTATTATGTTATCATATTGTTATAATTATAAAATAATTTTAATTTTAATAAATTATTTAATAAATTTATATTAATTATTAATTTAAATAACATTTATAGATTTTATTTTATTTAAAATAATTTTTAATTAATTTATTTTTTTATTTTATTTTGTGAATGAATTTAAAAAATTGTATAAAATTATAAAACTTAATTTTAATTAATATGTAAATTTTATTTAAAATTATTTAAAATTATTATTATTAATTTATGTAAAATAATTACAATATTAATAAATTAAATTATGAATATTTAAATTTTATGGAAAAAATATTTATTATAATTTCACTCTATTAAGTTTCACAAATTATAATCAACTGAATTTATAAAGGTAGTAATATTGTCCTTGAAGTCCTTTATAAAATTTGTATAAGTTTCGCATATTTTTACATGCACAAATTATTATTATAATCTACATATATATTTAATATACACATATATTTATACGTTCATCTAATTTTTTGTTATAAGTAACATTCTGTTCTTAATAAAAACAAAAAAAAAAAAAACAAGAACAAAAAATTCTTTACTATATATGCAATTTTCTTAAAGAAAAAAGGAAAGAGAAAAAATTAAGAAGAGTAAAAATGAGAAGAAAAAAAATAAAAATAATTTTTTTTTTTTTTCTTATTTTCCAACCATTCCAAATTTATAATAATTTATTATAAAAATGAATTGGTGTAAAAATATGAATACTATATGTATGTATATGTGTGTTATATCCTTTCAACACATACTACTTAAAATTAAGTTGAATAGTGAGAAAATTATTAATAAGAAAAAATTGTATAATAAGATGAGAGAGAATTTAAATTAATTTTCTTGTTTGTTTTCATAATTTTTGTTTTTGATTAAATAAAATTTATTTTTTCCATTTCGTATACAAGGACTCTGATAATTCAATTAATATTGCAAGAAGATAAAGAAAATTTAAAAAATAAACAGAGGTTTGTCACTTTCTTTCAAAAATTTTTCAAATTTTTGTAAGCCTGAAATTTCATTTTATTACTCACAATTTTAGCTAAAATTGACAGGATATTTTTCAATAAAATTTTTAATTTATATTAAATTCTATATTAAATTAAAAACATTATATATTGGTCCTTGCGAATTTAAAAATAAATTATGTTCCACAATTTTCATAATTATTTTTATTATCATTATTATTATTATTATTATTACTTCCAATTACACTCCATCTAGAGTGTCTTTTGAGAACTGCAAGTCTTTGTTATTATTTCAAATTTTAATAAATACGAAATATACATATACATATGCACATGCAAACATTAATATCGTCTATAATGTATAAATGTATTGTTTTGAAAGTGTAGTAGTGTACATGAAATTGTGGAATGCATTTTTGCATGAATTGCAATAATCGAATTTTTTTTCTTTTTCCTATTTTGTCTCTTCTCCTTCTGCCATTATTCTTATTTTCGAATTTATTTCTCTTGAAATTCGAAATTTCTTTTTTCTCTCTCTTTTTTTTCTATTTTTATATGTTTTTTATTTTCGGATTTTTATTTAATTTGATTTTCGTATAAAATTTATTTTATTAAAGAAAATTTATTGTAATAAATTATTATTCAACAAAGATTTATATATAAATGTGTGTGTGTTTAATTTGCACTCATTCATAAGCATTATTATGTACATACATACATGTTTACAATGAGGTTATGTTGTATACAATTATGCAGTATGTTAGAATTTATGCAATAAAGAATAATTGAAATTAATTTTATGAAATGAATATTAAATTTTTGTTAAAAACAAAAAGAGAATTTATGATTTAGAATACATTGGATTCTATAGAAAAAATGTATGCATATAGAGAAACTTGTAATTTATACATACTTACATGAGTGTTTGGATGCATAACATCTAAGAATGTAATTTATAATAATTATGTATGTATATGTATGTGCTATTTATATTTAATTGTCATTTAATATTCTTTTTTAGTGGGAGCTTTCACATTAAAAATTCTTCTCTCATTTTCTTTGCCCATTAATTGTTTTTCATAATATATAAGACTAAGCTTTCATTATTAGAAATGTCATATAAAAATCAATTTGACATAACAAGTTGGGTGTATGCATTTTGTATATATGCATACATACAACAAATAATATTATTATTAAAAGTATATTTTTGTTATGTAAAGTAATTATTAATAATAATTATTTTTATAGATTGTAAAAGGCATTATTTTAGACATTATACCTTGCAGTGCTGCACACACTAAAATAATAAGGTAATAAAATATATTTATTCAAATATTATAGTGTAAACTACTTCTGTCATAGGATTGGACTGATTCTAATCCAATAAGGGATTTGAATATGATATTGGATATTTTTATGCATTGAATATTTTAAGCGAAAAAAGTATATAAAATAGTAATTTGAAAAAGGAACTCATATTTTAATCTTCTATTCTTGTTTGTACATAAATTCGAACTTAAAAGAAATCGAATTTTGGATGACTTGTGTTGTAAGTTTTTGTAAAAAAATATTATTTAAATTTCATATTTCTCTCAGTGTATTTTTGTTTTATTATACACTTAGAAAAAATATTATAGTAAAATTTCCTTTGTATTTTTCTCTTACAATTTTAGAATTTTATTAATTTATATTGCACTATGATCTAATTATACAATTTTGTCTTCTATACCTGCTTAAGCAATTCAGCAAAAGCTTTTCCTTGAAATCTTCATAAATAATGAAAATTCTTGATGATAAATTAGAATCGAATGCTACCCTCACAATTACTCAATCAATATACTGTTGGAATCACTCTTAAAATCACTCTTGGAAAATGTTCGTTTAATTAAAATTTTGTGTTAATTTTTTCTAATAATTCAATTTAGGGTTGAAAGCTGTATTTAAATATTTTTGCAAATGTCGAAAAATTTCGTAAAATTTTTAAAAAAAAAGAGTTGAAAATTTTAATTTAACAAATTCATGAAGATTTTGTACAAAGTACCTCTTTACTAACAGTACCGTATAAAAATCCTGTTCTCTTTAACAATAACAAAATTACATTCTTAATTTTACATAAAATATTTCATGTTTTTCTTCTTTTGTTTTTACAAAATATTTAATAATTTTTATTGTAAATGTTGCAAGGATATTAAAATCCTTGATTTATAATAAATAATATAAAAGTTTGTATAAACATGTTATATTAGATAATGCAACTTTATATATACATAAAATTTTTCTAGGGGAAATTTTGTATATATCTAAAATTCTGAATATATTCTGCATAATATCAATATACGTACAAAAGTACAATAATAATAAAAAGGATTTTTTCAAAAACAAAAAAAAAGTAATAATATGAGTGTATTTTTGAATTTTATAGTAGGGATTTTTTTTTTATTCTTGTCTTTTTTTATGCCAATTCGGTGGTGTATATGAAAATAACTGTGTTTCTTATGATGATTTTCTTGTACATATTATAATATGCATACATACATTATAACATAATATTAAAAATGATAAAAAAGAAAAGAGGTAAAAATTTTATTTTTTTGTTGTTTTTATTGCATTTACTTATTGCATTACAAAAATATTGCTTACCGGTTTTAATATTTTTTTTTTGCTTTTTTTTCCAGTCCTTTGAGCTTAATGGGTGTGGCTTACATAATATTCATGCATATAATATATAAAATATTCAGAAAGGATTTTTGAACAGAACTAGAAGAAGTAGAAGAAAGAAGTGACTTCAGACTTGTGTAATGTGATTTGTACATGTGCTGCACAATTACAATGCAAATTGCAAAATTCTAATAATGGGGTTATTTTAATAGGTAAATTTTTTTTTGTAAATGTAAAATAAAGTTTACCTTATAATATCAATATTTTTATCAGTGTATTTGTGTTTTTCAAATATTAAGGTTATGTGGTAGTAAAAATATGGAAAAAAAAATTTTTTTAATTTTTTTTTTTGCATAGAATTTGAAGCTTTTATTTTGTTATTGTAAAATTTATTTATGAAATTATTTCAAGTATATATTTTGTGCACATATTGCAGTTATGATTATTATTGGCCATTTTTCTTTAATACATATATATGAATGCATGTGTGTATACAATATATTTTATTTGTTGTATTATAAACCATTTAGTACAAGTATATTTTGGATATAAATTGTATTTAATTTTCGGGGATTTCTTTGGGTTTCAAAAACGGCGAATCTAATTTTGGTAGCTCTTCAAATGCTTGGTATAGGTAATTTTTCCCAAAAGGGTTCTGTACTGGTAATATACAGTAATTTTTACAGTATTACCAGTAATACACTATAAAATACTGGTAATATACATTTAGAAGTTAATAGAGAAAGGAAAAGATAGGGCTAAAAATTGATTTGTTGTAAGGGATTCGATAAGCTGCATGTAGAAATACTGTTCAAGTTATAGTCACAAGTCACTTCATTGAAAGAGTTTAATTGAAAATGAGTCAATATATGAGTACCTTTAGATAGAATTATGTAGCTGCTTGCAATCATCCAGCATATATAACATCAATATATAACATATAACACGCTTAAAAGTATTAAATAAATTATTAAATTAAATCAATTTCGAGCAATTTTTGTAAATGTGGGTGTAAGAGTGAAACCATTTTATCAGGATATCAATACTTTTAGGTCATACTTTTTAGTACATTAGGCGATAAGACCGGATATCGGGATAATACACAGTCGTACTTGTTAGTCTTAATTATTTTTTTCATTTGGGCTGGTGCTGTTACGAGTGTTTGAAGTGTAAATGTATACTATCTAAATTAATATGAGAATTCGAGAATATTTAGAGTTCGATCTTCTC